ACTGAGGGACCAGAAGACTAAAGCTGAAGTGCTACAGCCATATAAAAAAATCTGGTTCAATTAAACATGCTCAAGAACCAAAATTCTTAGTATCAAAAATAGTTTAAATAACATAAGCATAAAATTCCTATAACAACAAAGTGACCCAACAAATGTTACTTTTCTACTTCAAACTCAATAGATGTAAATATTCCACTCAAATAACTAATTGTAATGGATCTTAGTATCTCTATTTGATAGACAGTCTGCATTCAGACTGTTAAGTGCTAGATACACTGCAAATATTGGTAGCAAAATTATGCTGCTGTGCCATAAATACTCTCAGCTGTGTTTCATTTCTCTGAAGAGCAGTTTCAAAGCAATAGAATATTCATACATAAATAGCTTAGAAATATTTCAGTATGAAAAAAAATCTTGTAATGCTCTAAGTGGGTTTTATCAGTGTTTGAAATAATCTATTTCTATCTATGTGTGTTTCTAATAATAGTTTACCCTTAATTTTACCGTATCTGGATACAGTGATGCAATTTTATAACTACACGGTACATACTATTTTTTCAAATAGTATGCTTGGAACTAATAATCAAAATTTGTATTCTGATTCCAAATCTGTATCTTGCAATGCTCAGTGAAAGGGAGACAGGCAGGGAGACCAAATTCAGTAGTTATCAAGATTTCAGTAGTTCTTTAGAGCTGACACAGAGACATGCCATCTTCAGTTATGATCATGACAGAATTTCATGCATGCTGATAGGACCAAAGACATTAGTGATTAATAAGTGATATCATCTGATTAAAAAGCAGAAAACTTACCTGACTTCTGACATAAATAAGCAAAATCATTGGAAACATAGTCATAAGTAAGTAAACATTCATGTGTACCTGAGCAAGCCTGTCATCTCAGCACAGTTCTTATGCACTTACTCAAGTATGTGCAGAAGAGCATTTGAATACTGAGATGCCTCTAAACTGGGGTGTAAGATGATAGGAACATTCTACTCTGAAAGCATACAGAAGAAAATTAATGCTTTGAGGGAGAGACCCTAATATCCAGAACACTCCTACATACCCTATGGGGAAATGCTGACTTTAAGACTGGTTACTGCTGCCCTTTCAGGCCTTGGTGTAGTCCATGTATATGTTCAGCAAACATGTTACAAGGCATAAGTGACAGCCGTGTTCTGCATTTTACATGCTGACTTTGAAAGCCCATCAAGACCCAAATGAGCTACCAAATGCCAGAAGTGGGTAGTGTTCTTTTAAACAGTTTGGGAGACCTCTAGTGGGCCTCCTTCCTTGTCTCCTGTTGTAGCTCCCACAGCCTATGCAAAGAAAGTTGCATTGTCATGTAGCTTGGACAATATATGTGTATGCAGTTGATTAAATATTGGAATTATGAAATATGACTGCTCTAAAACAATGCTTATAAGTAGAAATCACACAAAAGTACAATAAGGACTTTGAAAAATGGTTAAGCTATGCAACATTGAGCATAACAACATCGATATGCTTAGAAGTTCAAATGCTTATCTTTAAGTGTATTTTTAAGACCAAAGTCTCATTTTAGGATTTGCAAAATAGAAATGGCACCTTTTATTTAGAGGTCTAATTCAAGTGACCAAAGAATATTTGGAGATCCTTCCTCTCTGGTTGTGTCTGAGCAGTCCACAGTGTATAGGCATCAGCATAATTGAAGCCTGTCTGGACTTCACATTTTTTCTTCGTTATATTTTTGAATGCAGCATGGAAATGGGACAATAAATCTTCAACTTGTTTACAAATTCAGAAGGAATGGACAATAAGACTGAAACACTAAAATTTAGCACTATCTCATTTACAGGAGTACTTTCTAACACAGTAATGATTTTCTGTTCAATTCTATACAGTCTTTTCACCTCACATGAGTAAGATTATAAGAGTCATGTACAAATGCCTGTTTTTTTATTGCTCGGTGATCATGAGAGCAGAATACTGTATTGTTGCTTTTCTGAAAGACTATTAGTGTTTCTAATACAATTTCTGTTTTCATATTTATCACTCATCCATAAAAGATTTTGCTCAAAATATTTCATAACTAATTTAATAATTAAAAATAATTCCATAATGTAAGCATAAGCATTTAAACCTCAACAATTCTATACCAGCAACTAATTAATGCGTAACTACACTGAAATCAGGAGCATCTTGCACAAAAGCAGATATTTGCCTGTGTGTCTGGATGAGTAGATATTCATTAGTTCTAAATTAGATTTTAAGTTTTGCAAAATACTGTTTTGCCTTTCATATGATCTTACAAGGATAATACAGGTACATTTGGAATATATGGGAATATAAAAGTACATATGTATTAATTCCTTTTTTTTCCCGTTCATATTAAGAAGTGAAACAAGCTGTGGAGAGAAAACGGAATCAATCTGCTTTTCTTAACAGTAGGTCCTAATCTTGCAAAGGTATGTAAATGCCTATTCTCTTTTGCAACCGGACTTGCCTTTCTCGTATTGGCCTTTTTAGCCACCAACGCGCTTGCAAGAAACGTGGGTAGAGCCCTTCCTAAATCTTCGTTCGCGAAGCCTAGCCATGAGATGAGATGTAAATGCCTAGCTCTAACTCTTGTGAGACAAAGTTGATAGAAGTAACTGCATTTGCAGAGCTACCCATCTCCAGAAGCACTTCCCTTTGGTTGTACAGCATGGTTAAAAATGGTTTTATATCTCAGCTTTTTCCTATTTTCCCCCAAAACACTGTATTCCTCACTCTATTCCTTCTCAGGAGAGAAATGCTTATCTCATTGCATACCTTATGGAGGGGGAAAAAAGTCTTGCTGAAGACAGCATACAGGAAAAGGAAAGAGTACACTTCCTCACAGAACTTGCTTGGGATATTTAGAGCACCCTGAAGTCAGTCAAGATGTCTTGGCATCAGCAGAAATCAAAAAGGGCAGTCTGTGAACACCTATGCACCTTGCTTGTAACTGGGGAATCTTTGTTGTTGTAAAGTGGTGAAGGAACAAGGGGTGGAGCACGTGTAACCATCCACCTCTGTTGGCACTGTGATCATCTTATTTTGACTTTGGTGTGGGAAATTCTATTTGCTGATGTAAGGGAAGGTTTTGAAGATTGCATGATGGATGTATATTTTAATGGTAACTCTTTCAGGTAATAATAATCACAGAGAAAGCCTTTCCATTTCAAGAATATTTATAGCTCAGGAGTACCATGTCTACACACCATCACAGTAAGTCTCTGATGTCCTAACAGGCCAAATTTCCTTTGCTTTCTCTGTTGGCTAAGTCTTAATATCAATAAATTCCTGTGGCATAATCCAGATAATTAAAATTTTATTCAAGTACAAGAAATACTGATTCAAAAAAAGTTCTAAATAAGGATGATAAAAACCAGAGTCATAAAACAACCTCTGGGGAAAAAAAAGTCTTTGAAAGACTACAGAGTGTAAACTAAGTAATTTTGACATATGGCAAAATAACTGATAAAAAAAAGACAAAAACTGGAGTGCAATTCTAATAATGGAGAAAAGCTATGAACATAAAGCTTTATGTAGTTAAAAATATTTAATATGTACATAGAAAAAATGATATCCAGAGAAATTTGTACTTGGCACTGGAGTCATCAGAACTCTTAGCTGCATTGGCATCATGGTCCCCAGTGAAATTCAATGTAGGCAACACAAGGTGCACTGGAAGGAGTGGTCTGAACTACATATACATTAGTTTGTTGCAATTATCTAACCATTTAGACTATATTTTTTAATGCCAATACTTCTGAGTACATGAGTAGATCATATAAATGACATGCACATGAAATACTATATACAATGAAACATTCTATCTTCATTCACTGTATAATGTTAGATTAGGCCTTCACTTGGAATGTCATGTTCTGTTTGTCCCACCCCAAATAAAACACAACAAAACTAGATGGGACTCTGAGAAGCTTAGAGTTATAGAGATGTTCATGTAACAACCATAGTAAAAATGCCTAGCTGGAAAAGGATGTGATATGGCTGTAACACAGAAAATGAACAGGGTAGAGAAAGTAAATAATTTATAATTATCTGTTTTCAAACTCAAACACATACATATACCTGAGGAAACTGAAGAGCAATAGCATCAAAAATAAACATAGATAGCTTGTGATAAAAGTTCAACATGAATTTCAGAGAAGATTGGACACTTATAAGGATAGAGACTACTGTACATGATATTTTGGGTGAGATTAGCAACAAAAGCATTTTTGAAAAGAAGTAGAGACTTAAGAATGGAAATATACCCTGATCTTTAATTACAGGAGGTTCAGAATTAAAGGTTCCTCCCCAGGCAGTGTTATTCCATATTCATCCACTATGTGGGTTCTTGCATTTTTCCTTGAAAAGTCTGAGCCAGGACCATGGAATCATAGAATCATTTGGGTTGAAAAAGATCTCTAAGATCACTGACTACAACCACAAACCCAGCACTGCCATGTTCACCACTAAACCATGTCCCCACGTGCCACATCTACATGTCTTTTAAATACCTTTCAAGAATGGTGACCACCACTTCCCTGGGCAGCCTGTTCCAATCCTTCCTGTGAAGAATTTTTCCCTAATATCAAATCTAAACGTCCCCTGGCCCAGCTTGAGGCTGTTTCTTCTTGCCCTGTCGCTTGTTACTTGAGAGAATAGACCGACCCCAACCTTGCTACAACCTCCTTTTGGGTAATTGCAGAGTGATAAGGTCCCCCCTGAACCTCCTCAGGCTAAACAGCCTCTCCTCATAAGACTTGTGCTCAGCTTCTTTACCAGCCCCACTGCCCTTCTTTGGGCATGGTCCAGCACCTCCAGATAAAACACTGGCCTTATGCAGCCTAGATTTATGATTTTTCAATGGACTCCTTATTTTTGATGTACACAGTGTAAGACATTATGTCCATATTTTGCAGAGTGAACTTGCCGTCAGTTGTCCAAAATACAAAGAATACCACAAAATCCTCAGGCAATGAAGGTTAAGCTACAGTGTAATACTTTGTTTATTTGATTTAATAAACCCACTGCTTATAATCATCGGGGTAGGAGACCTGTGAACTAGTACATGTTATTTTTATTTCCATTTAAAAATAACAACAGTGAAACCAAAGAAATAGTAATGCTAACAATAATAAAAGTAACTACATAGTCTCCTTTGTGCAGTACATTTCTTTCTTCATGCTCTGTAAGTGAAGGGTTGCTATTTACGATATGCTCCAAGTCTGCTTTTCAGAAGACAGCCCAACTTGGCTGGACAGCTTTCAGTTGCTACTGGAAATATGTCACTTATTAGGAACAGAGGGGTTGTTTATCACTGTCTCAAGGGTTGCTTTGGCTGAGGCGAAGAAATAGCTCAGTTATATAATGGAAAGAGCTAGGTCAAAGGATAAGAAATTTATGTAGTGTGTGCTTGAGACTCTGGCAGAGCAGACTCAGTTTCTCTCTTGTGTATCTTGCATAGACAGTAAGTGATACCTTGGTTATATAGCTCTTCCCATCCATCCCCAAAACCACCTCAGAGATATGGGGGCTGAAGTCACAATTAAGAAAATCTCCCAAAACTTCTCAGTCAAGAGAAAAAGATTTGTCTTTCCTACTGCTTCTTTCAGCCTCCTGGTATGTAGCTAGTGTTCAGTCCTGGTACTCAGACGCATCGCATAGCCACAGTTCAAACCCTTTGGCAAGCTAGAAATGCCATCTCTAATGGAGATCTATATGGGTGCTGAACATCATCATTCCTTTTAGTCCTCACCAGTGTTAATGGGGGAATACTCCTTCCCATAAACTCGGCTCTGATTTTTGATGAAACAGCAGAAGGCAACCCAATCCTGTCAGCTTTACGGATACCACCTCACTGAGTACTGCATGGAATTTCAGCAAGCAAGGGACAGTTAAAAAGAGTTGAACCTGTGTTTCCATCTGCTTATGTCAATGTTAGAAGTCCAGTTCAGGATAACCAAAACAGCAAGTTCTATACAAGGGGGAAAAAAAAAGAAAAAAAAAAGAAAAGAAAAAACTAAGCATCCAGAGTCTTTTTTAAAACGTCCTCTCCGTGTTTTATTTGCAGTATCAAGGGCATCCTTCAGATGAAATGTTTAACCAAGCATCAAATTTTCAAGCACGAACCCAATTGCCATAATAACAACCCAGTAAACAAACTCACCTCACTTTAATTACCAAACCCAGAAGCTGGCTCCGGACCGCGGTGACCTTGGTTCCTCATCGGGGGAAGGAGGGAGGGCGGATGAAGCCCCCTTCCTGAGGCAGAGGGGGTTAGCAGGAGGCCCCCCCCGGTTCCCTCCCCGCCGGGGGCAGAGGCCGCCCCAGCACCTGTTGCGCCGCCGCTTGGCCACGAGCGAGGGGGCAGCGGCGAGGACCTCCCCCCTCGCCTCCTTCTTCCCACCGACAACTTCCCGGGGCGTAAACGGCCGCGCCAGGTGCCGCCCTCGCCGTGATGGGACGGCGGGCGTGGGAGGGAGGGGGGGAGTGGAGAGACACGGCTCAGGCTGGCAGCGCGGCCGCCGAGCAGCGGGCGGGGAGGGTGGTTGTGTGCGAGCGCGGGCCGCCCGCCCCCGCCGGTGCCGCTGACAGGTGCGCGCTCCTCCGCGGCTGTAGCACCAGCCCCGGCCACTCCGGCCCCCGCCCGCCACGGCACCGGATTGTTTAATCCTTGGGAAGCTGGTCTGGGTCCAGACTTTGCTTTGATCCTCTTTTTTTTTTCCCTCCTTTTTTTTTTTTTTCTTTTAAGAGAGAGAGAGGAAAAAAAAGGCAAAGGAAAACAAAACCTGGAGACACAGAAGAGCGCTCTAGGAAAAAGTTTTGGATGGGATTATGTGGAAAGTACCCTGCAATTCTCCGCTGCCAGAGCAGGCTCAGTGCTGCCTTCTCCCCAGCGGCGCAGCCCGCGCCGGGCGCTGCTGAGAGACGCCCGGGCCTCGGTGCCTCGCCGCCAGTGCCTGCTGTGCCGGAGCCCCTCGCCCCGCCGGCCCAATGCTCCTCCTCGGGCTGTTCCTGCTGACATCTGCCCTGGCCGGCCGGAGGCAGGGGGCCGTCGCCGAGTCCGACCTCAGCAGCAAGTTCGCCTTCTCCGGCGCCAAGGAGCAGAACGGTAAGGAGCCGCAGCACCCGCCGCCGCGCAGCCCGGGACAGGGCGGGGGCGGGCGCCCGGCCGGCGCGGCGCGGAGCTCTCCTCTCCCTCTCCCTCTCCTCTCCCGCCGCCTGCGGGGCAGCCCCTCGCCGCGGAGGGACGCGGCCCCGCGGGGTGGCGGCAGGCAGAGTGGGGCGGCAGGCAGAGTGGGGCGGCAGCCGGGACTCTGCCCGCCGGCTCGGGCAGCGCTGTGGGTAAAAGGGCAGCGGCTCGGCGGGCGGGGGGAGCCCGGCGCCGGCTCGGAGGCTCCCTCCTCTGAGGTATTTGAGGTGCAAAACCGTGTCCCGTTCCCCTCCAACCTCCCCGCCCCGCTAAAAAAATACCCAAACAAATCCAACAACGACCCGCGCACCTTTGTACCCTAAATGCTCTCGGGGAGGGGGGGGTGGGTTTGTGTCTGCGCGTGAATGAGTGGTATTTTGTACGGGCTGGAAACGAGCTAATCCTGCATAGGAAATGAGAATTACTTTCAACTTTCAAGTGTACCTGAAATGTTTAGAAAACTCTCAAATGCAAGTTCCCCTGGGCTGGAGCTGCGCTGAGCTGGAGAAAGACTCCTTTCATACAGCAAGGGCAGCTTCGGGGTGTGTAATTTGCTTAGCCTCTGAACTCCATATGATTTACATTATTCAGATTTTTAAGTGCCTTTCCTCTTGATCTGGTATTATGAAGTCATTTTAAAGAATATTTTACAAACTGTAACGTTATATACTGCATGAAACCACACTTAGAGTAGAATATCTAAAATTAAAGCTGTTAGCATACATGCATGGAAACCCTGGTGTTTAATGTACGGGGCCGGGGGGTGTGTGGGGGGAGATGGTGTTTGAAAAATTTAGTACTTTGCATGTCATCTAGAGCAAGCTTTCTCCATGGGCACAAACCAACACAAAAGGCCAATCTGGGAGCTCTCATAACTCTGAACTGTAATGAAATAAAACAGAAACGCAGATTTGAGGCTAATTCAATTCTCTCAACTTTGAACTTGGGACTCCCCAGATAAAAGTATTCTATGTTGTATCTTGTAATAGAAAGCAAAGTTTCAGAGACCTCTCCAAGTGCTCTGTGAATGGGTAGAATATGCAGTGCACTAACAAATTTAGAAGGGGGAGATTAATACTGCAGTGGCCTGTTAATGTGATGATATATGGCACCTGCAGACTGCCGGAGCTGCTGATCAAAGAGCAGCATGGGGATCAATCTCTAATCAGAGCAACTGTGAAGGGCCAGAGGAAAGTGATCAAAAGACTCAGAGACCCAGCTATTCTGACAGGAAACCAATCAGACTTTGTGCACAGTACAGGAAATTATCTGTTCTGTGTGAGAAATCACTCACTTTCTACCCCTTCCCATCTTACCTGGTGTTTAGAGGCTTTAAGGGCACCAGTTTGTGACAAAATGGGCTTGACAATTTTATAGTAATGTCTTGTGCTGTTATACTGCCTTCTCTTAAATTTGCATGCTGTGCATATGGAGCATATCACCACACAGAGTATTGTCATTGCTTTGCTTTGACTTTGTCAGGAGTGCAAGGAAACCTGCTATGCTGTCAGTCTGCTCTAAAAGGTTTGTTACAGGATAACGCAGCTGGGCCCTGAAGGGCCTGCAGGGTCCAACAATGGGAGCACAACAGTGTAAACGGTAGATCATACAGCATAGAAGCAAAACTTATGTAAATATAATATGTAAATAGGTGTAAGTATGTGTGACAGTACAAACTAGATTTTGTTCACATATATCAGAAACACAGCTGGCTTAGGTCAGGCTTCAACTGGTTTGCAATGCAATTTGGCATGCTCTAAGATAGTCACTACATCTTAGAACAAATGCAAAGCCGGGAGAATTTTTTTTTTTTTTTTAAAAGTGCCCTGAAACTGTATTATGTGGTAATTTATACTTAGAAGTATTGGTTTGCCTTATAGTTGTGCTAATTCTTAATGTAATTTTTGCAATTGAACAAGTTTAGGTATAGCTAAGTACCAACCCCTGACTTTTTTTAACTGATTTTAATTATTTGGGGGATCGGTAACACTGGTCAAACCAGTTCTTACTTGATTTAATTAGAGCGATTTTTACACTCTGCTGCAATCTAAAGATTGTATAGCTTTTAGCTAGAGGCAGGTTAAAACTCCCTGGAGTATGAGAATGAGATATTGCTGTTCACGTGCCAAATAATCTCTGGTCAGGAGAGAGGGAAATTTTTTTTACTTACGCAGTCTACAAATAAAAATTCTGTCCTCAACTTGTAAAACTGCTAAATGGCCAAGAAATTTTGGAGTAGAATGGATTACAGTGTTACTTAGTTGCACACGTGGGTGCTATAGTTATTGCTTCAAGGTGATACTGAAGATGTCTGTGACCAGTTATTAATTCAGTGCCACTACTTGTGGGTAAGCGTGTGCTTAAGAATTAATTTGTTCATAACTGGTATTTACTTATCTATTAGCTAAATTATTATTAACTTCAAAATTACAGTTAACTCAATTTATTTGCTAACGATAGACATAAGGACCTCTCTTGTTTCTGCTGTATAGTGAGTGTTGTATTAGGTGGCAGTTTCCTAGTGTAAATATTTCTTTGTAAATTAAATATTTTTAGAACACAGTGTTTTGCTGTTACCTCCCAGAAATTCGATGTGTTGATGGTTGTAGGGCAAACCTAGCTCTGTTTAAAACCACTTAAAACTACCTCCATGTTTTGATTTACCTCTCCTCTGTTATAGTGATATTTTCTTTAGGAACAGGTTTTATTTGTAACTCTACTTGACAGTAAGGGATTTTATGTGATTTCCTTGAAAAATTCCTATTTATTTTCAATGTTTTTATTTTATTCAACTGAGTAAATATTCATCTGGAGAATCAAAGAAGTTTATGCAAGTTTTCTGGAAGGCAAAGTAGCAGTAAATGATGCATGTAGTGATGGCTCCCATTTATCTGGATGGATTTTATTTCTATAGTTCTTGTCATATCGAAGAGCAGATTATGCTTTGAAAGGTTTTTCATGCTTAGGTGGCTTTATCATTTTTCTTATGGTTGTCTGATGTATTTATTAACAGTTTTCCATATTGAAGTAAAAAGTCAAGAAAAATTGATTGCTCAGTTTCTTTTGAAGAACAAAACTGAATCTCTTGTGTATTGAATTTGATTACCTGGATGGTTTACTTATTTCTTCTTTCTATTACATTTCTTGCTTCATTTTCATCTACTTTTGATGGCTGTTTTTGATGTAGTATCTTCATTTTATTTCTGTAGTTTTAGCAGCATCTGAGGGAGCTGTTGGTAGATTGAGTAATGAGAATGATTTAACCCTGGTGGTCTGAGTGCACCTACTTATGTGATGTTATTAGTTTAATATAGATTTGAGACAACATGAGATGGCAGGAGAATCTAAATTCTATTCTCTTGGCTGTTTAGAAGAAGATGCAATAAATGTTTGAAGGAACTTTGCTAAGCTATCAGCTGTTATGTTTTCTATGAGAAATATGAGGATATCTCTATAGAAAAAAATACTATTGGGTGCCATAAGCAATGATGTGTATAGCTTATGTGGCATGTATGTTTAAAGTGTAGTAATGACTGACTTCAGAAGGCCAAGAACCTGAGATCAGTTAGCAACTCACCAGGGCCAGTGAGAAATACTAACTTTCCTCCAGTTAGTTTCAAGTATGAATGAACAGCAGTAAATAGAGTTGCTGAAGTAAATCTTAGAAAACTAAAGCACTTACTTGATTTCTGTAATCCTGAAGCACCTGCATTAATCCTGCAAGTAATGTACTGGTCATGATTTGTCTTTTCACAGATCTTAATTTCTTTTAAGGTGTTGGGTGGGTTTTTTTGTTTTTGTCTTCTTTTGTTTTGTTTTTTCTTCCCCCAGACAAATGGAAACTGTTAATAATCAATTTCAGTAGCTGACTGCTTCATAATCATGGACATGATTTATGTAGCTCAAAAATCCCCCAAACAGGTGCCCTTGAGACAGAGTTTGAGACTTGCGTATCTCAGGCTATCCTTGGGAAAAGCTGGTGAATGCAGCTGGAACTAAGTGAGTAACTGAAGTGCCAGAGGGAGCTTCTCTCATCCCCTTGACCTGTACGTGGCCTGACACGCTTCTTCAGAACCACCTAAAGGATTCTCTGATTTGTGTGTCTCTAAAGGGAGCTTCCAGCTTATTCAGGGAGGGGACAGCATCACAACAGAGTTTCTGACTAAGTTGCTTTAACTTGGGCCGAACACCTGAAAAAGGTAGAGATGTCCAAGT